TGTTCTGTGATTGAGTTTATGAAGTTGGTTGAAGAGGCGATGACATTTATTCTGAAGATTTCTTCTTGGCTTACAATTATCTTGGATTGGTTAACGAGATTAGTTTGTTAACGAAGAAAATGAAAAAAATATTAGAAATTTTATTCGCTTAAAAAAGAAAAAAGGAATGAAATGTCTCTGCCGTGTTTCATGTTTCGTCGGTGTACGTTCTGATCGGACAAATGATTCGTCTGGCTCGAAGAGGGGGGGAGGAAGAAAAAAAAGCATGATTCTCTTATTTGGAGAAAGGAGAAAAGAGAGAAAGGTCGGAAGCGCGAAACATCTGGCAGCAATCAAGGAGCTGTATCTTCGAAACGCCGGCGGATCGTGAAAGAGATCAGAAGTAAGATGCAGAAGAAAAGAATGAAGAAGCATCGTTGAATTGGATAGTTGCAAAAAATCAAGGAACAACAATCAAATAATGAGACGAAAACCCGAGATCAATTTTGTTTAAGAAAGAAAACAGAAACAGCATTTTTATACAAAGATTTAATATCGATGAATCGTTTATGGTAATTTTTTTTTTTTTTCTAATCTAATTTCAATCTTTAGAAATAGAATGTCAAAAAAAATATACAAAATATGAATAATTAAAATTTATTTCCAATCGAACAACAAATTTCTAAAATAAGGAAACCTTGAAATATAATTATTAAATATATCATTCCTTTTTTAAAAGAAATTTCTCCGAAATTACTCATCCAACGAATATAAATGATTCCAAATATATACAACTGAATATATATAGCAAACTTATCATTGTATTTATAACTACTTCATTAAAGAAACACTTTGTAAGTCAAATAATTATTGTCATTCCCAAAAATATCCTCAAAACAGGATTTTTAAATATTCAGAAGAAATTTTTTTACAAACTTTTTTTATCCGACCAGCTAGAAAAAAAAAAGGATAAATAAATTATTCCAATGCTATCCCATTCTTCACAGAAGCTTAATTGAACTAACGACCACGATATTTCTCTTCTCGAAGGGGCAAAACGAAACGTATCCAAGAATTTTTGGGGAGGCCCGGGTATAAAGTTACCACGCAAAGAATTTGGGGGAACGGTATTTATATAGAGATTCAAGTTTTTGTTAATTAATAGTGTGACTGAGTATAAGCTCCGTCCTGTCTCCTTTTACGACCGGAGGTGGATACGTGAGGTTCATGTGTAATCCCTCCGAATGCCTCGACACGTCGTCTATGGCGCTAAAACGATATGGACGTATCAAGAAAAATATTCGCGTCACGTACGTGGTGACGTCCTACCTGCCAGTTTGATGTGTGCCGAAAACACACGAAACGATCAACCCTGCCATTGGCTCGTTAATTAATCCGAAATTGTACGATTTAACCACCCTTTCGATATTTAATCTCTTTATTAATTGCCTAAAATTCCAAAATTATGCGATTTCTTTCGTCGTATCGCTCGCTTTGAATTTCACGACGATTCTAAAAACAGATTTATCAAAAATAAATTCCATTCCTTCAAAGCATCGAGTATCACACTTTGTATGTCTCTCTCCCAACCAAATATCTCATTCCATTTCAATCTTCTTCAAATCAACCTAATATAATTTAGCCATCCATCAATCTCTTCCTTTTAATACTCTTCGTTTAATTTCTTTATTCACTGCTTAAAATTCCAAAATTATGTGATTTCTTTCGTAGAGTTGAAAAATGGGGTCCGTCGTATCACTCGTTTGAACTTCTGATGATGATTCAAAGAGATTTATTAAGATGAATTCCATTTCTTCGAAGCACCGAGTCTGTCACACTTTATACGTCTTCTCATATCTCTTCCCATTTCGTCGTATTTCTTCGAGAAAAAAATATAACGTATCAGTTATACAAAACAATTCGTGACAATCTCCTCGAACACCGAAACAACCAAACATCTCGACGCTAAATCTCATTCCATTTCAATTTTCTTCCAAGTTCTGTCCGATGATCGATAATCCTCTCTGCGCCCAGACTATAAACGAAACGAGGGAAAAAACGTTGATAGCCTGTCTGAGCAAACATATTGCGATAGTTCTTATGGAATATCGCGAACAAATCGTTCGCTCGATACGCGTCGTCGAGATCATCGACGAGTATATACGCGCCGATAATGAATGGTGTATATAGTGTTCGAGGAGGAGAAGCTGTTCCATCCGTGATCCGTCGATCGAGGGATCGAACCGCCGAGGATCGCTGCAGGACGTCAGAGGTTTTCTCGATGGAGAAGTAATTCACTGTGATGCATGATGGGTCGCGAGCAAGAACCGAGGAAGCATCGTGGAGAAGCTCGTATTAACGCTGTAGCGTGAATACACGCTTCTGTTTGACAGGCATAACCGTTCGATAATATCGTCGATCGTGCGCCAACAGAATTATGTAATTCAAGTATCAAGCCTGAGAAGCTGTAATTTTTAGCTGTGATCTTGTGTCATTATTTTTATTCCAATTTAAAACGATGGATTTTGAATTTTCCTTTTTTTTTTTAATTTTAATTAATTTCGTGAAATTTCATCATACTTAACCTAATTTTTCCTATTATATTTTTCGACTTCGTGGACATAACCTAACTTTCTTTAAATTAGCTTCCATGGATCTAATCGAATTTCTTTCAGATGCTCGAATTCTAACGCGCGAACGATTTCGAAGGTTTGGATCGATGATGTACACGCATATGGACAGAGGGGACGAAGAAACAGGTTGGACACGAGTGGTCGGTTATCTTTGATTCGCGTATCACGAGCGGAGAAAGCGAGGGAAAGGAAGAAAAAAAAAATAAAGAACGGTCTGGAATTTATCGTGGAACGTGTACTCGCATTCTGGAGTAAGTAGATAATTCCCGTATAATGCAGGGGACAAGGGGGATGAGAATGTCGCGTCGACGTTTCGCTATGCGAAAATTACGCGAGCATGGGGACGATAATCGTCGCTAATACGTCTCTCACGTAAGAGGACAACTCCTTATTTATATAGGAGTTCGTGCTCTCTAAGCGATGTGACACCACCGATTTCTCTACGAGGAATCCGAATTCGAGGAACGGATTGCACGTAGAGACAAGCCCCAAGTTTAATCATCTTGCATACGGTACCGAGCGGAGGAATGATTGTGTTCACGGGTAAAAGTGTGTCATAGAGGTTATCAAAAGAGAGATGCATACATATTAAGATGGTTGGAAAATGACTGATTTTAAAAAAATTCATCGATACATCATCGTAGAATTAATTATACAAAGCGATAATTTTTAAAACATTCTAGAGGCAAAAATAAAAATAGATCGATTCAGACTTCTTTATTAAGTTATAAGCGTTAAAAGTTGAAAGAGAGACGGAGATGAAACGAGACAGCTTTATCGTGGTTACATTATTGCGCCACGCCGCGGCGCGCTATGTCATTCTATCTCCGTCTCGCTTCTGATCTAACGCAAACAATAAATTACTTGTAACCAAATAAGTAAGTCTCAATTACTTTTATATATACTATCAATTTTTTTGCGCTCGTTTTGAAGAATCAATCCTTCAAAGATATTTTAAATATACAACCCTCCAACATAACACGAATTCCTAACCTAACCAACTCCAATAATCATTTATTCAAAATTCCATCATGTTAAACAATCTCAAATAACTCAAGTAAACCCAATTTTCTCAACATCTTCCATCCACAATTTTTCCCCACCGTCCAATAAATCCCTACACGTACCGTATTTCGCACGTGCATATTTCATTCTATTTCATATACGAACACTTGACGCTTCCATAGACGCGGATATTGCAATCGTACGCGTGTAATAAGGATAGGCTGTGGCCGTGATCCGGATATCAATCTAAAGCGCGAAGATCTTTAGCCCTTGAAGAGGGTCGGTCCCCTCTTTCTTTCCTCGGCGGGATGCGGCCGCCTATGATGTACTGCCGCCCTTATCTTTATGTGCGTTGCACTTGGCCGGATCTATCCTATGCACGCATGCGCGAATGCACATCACGCACGTACAGTTGCGGTGTGCCGGCCGGGATGATTGAAGGAAGGAAGGGAAAAAGGGAGAAAGAGCCGATTCCGCGATTTTTCGGCCGACGAATTTGCGATGTTTGTTTAGCGGTTTATATAATTGGATCCAGAACGATGGGTATCCACTTTATTTGGCGGTTGGTCGGCACTTTAATTTTCGTGCTTTGCAGCGTTTTTGGGATCCTTTTCCCGCCACATGTTTCAACGTGTCTTTTTCTTTTTCGAGATTTACGGGGGTTTACTCAACGGTTTGGTAATTGGATCCACATCCATGGTTACTTTATTTGGCAGTCGGTTATTTAGGCTTAATTCGTACTTTGGACACTTTTTGCTCGTTTGAGCCTCTTCGTTTGGCTCCTGTTTTGAAATAATAATTTGGTTCCTGTTCTGCGTATCAACCTTGTTTGGAAATTGCAAGCTAGCTTTTGTCATTAAATAATCGTGTTAAATAATAGAGAATTTAATGAAAAAAAATTGAGTAATAAAAAAAGTGAAATTTATACGAAATATCGGAAGATTTATTTTTGGAGATTTGAAAAGATATTGCATAAGATTCAAAAATATTATTTCATTAGGATAAATTATACGCATATCGGGTATCGAAGGAGTTATATTACGTGATATAATGGCAAGGCATTTAGACGTGGCAAACGGAAATATAGAACGAAACCAGAATTCGTTTGTTTTCAATTCCTTAAAATAGAAGGTACGGTCTTCTAAGAACATACACGCCTGTATAATTTCTCACGAGGCCCCCTCGTCTATTCCTAACTATCGCTTTTGTATCTTCATAAGCTCCTCCGGATCATAAAAAAAGAGGGATATTTATAAATATATATTTTTCTTTCTTCTTTTTTTTTTTTTTCTTAAATAATCTAATGAATCGTGTATTTTATTTTAATTCTTTTTTTCTCTTTCACTTTTTATCGAATATCTTTTTATTGAACAATTTACTCACCAAAATGGGTCCTCCATCCCTTATCGAAGCCGAAACCGTGGCACCAAACCATTGAAGGGTCTTATTATCGATCTGACTCAAACCACCAGGCGCATTTGGATTTCTCACGTAGTTATTTCCTGCAAACGAAAATCATTTTTTTCATCAATCACTGCCATGTTAGCTGGTATTACATTCAAGAAGATTTCAAGAATGATTAAAACACGAAATATCACGTTCACCAATTTTCTTCTTGCATCTCCTAGACTCCAATAATTTTTTGAACAACAGAAATTCATTATTTCTTCTCTCGTATATTCATTTTCAATTCGCATAAACGTTACATTATGTTTGCCCGTTTCTGATCGCAACTTTCGAAACTTCGATCCACCAAGCAGCTGTAATAGCGGCGATAAAGAATCATCGATGGAAGGAAAAAGACGGAAGACGCGCACCATTGAAGGAGAGAGAGAGAGAGAGAGGCAAACAACGTTTCTTCTTCTCGGACGTGGCTAACTATTTCGAAGAATAATGAATCCCGTCAAGAGCAGGGAGATCGGTCACTTAATATCGGAATTAAATTCTTGCAAATCTGAGGGAGAGGCTCTCTAAGAACGAATCAACGATATATCCTGCACTTAGCTACAGGTAACCTAATATGTAACTGGAACGCGCTCGAATGAAACGAAACAGAAAAGACGAGTTTAAGACCGTTTGCATTTCCTCTAAGATTAAATTAAAAAAAAAAAGAGGTATTATTTATATTAAAGTGTTACTTTTGTAATTTTTGAAATTTTTGTAAAAATATTTGACTTTGGTGTATTGTTCTAGGAATAGAATTTTTCAAATGATTTTCTTCTTGTTTCGAAGAACATTCGTCGCGTAAGAATTCTCATTTTGTTTAAATCAAATTACATGAAAAAAAAAAAAAAATCGTGTTCTACAATTCACACGATAGAAGAACTTTCCAAGGAAGGAAAGTTTTCAATGCATCATATCGTGATATCGTGATAAAAACAAGTCTCGAGCAGGTGTCACTGCAGAGAGAATTCTCAGCGAGTACACCTTGGATTTTTCTTTCTCGATTTTACGAATGGAATGAACCCGTTAGCCGTATCGGTGAGGCGTAACCCTTAAACGGAAGTTGTCCTTCGCTTCCTATCCCTTAACTCGCGAGTCGAGGCGCGTGGATATGTCGATCGACTCGAGAAATCCTTCAGCGGCCATAATTCAGTTACCCGATAAATAAGTCGCCAAAGAATAGTCGCAAAATTACAAAATTAACCGTTTTCTTAATTTCGTTTATAAATAAATATTAGAAAAAATAGAGAGCAATTTGCCTATTTAATTTTATTTTGTTTTTTCTTTTTTCTAGTTGGATGGATCTATTGTTCTTTAAAAAAATAAACATTATGTAAACATTTCGAATTCACGAATAATTTGATTAAAAATATTCATCAACCTTCCATCAATCATTTAAATCCTGCGCCATCTATCAAACGCGAGCAAATTAATTAAAATCAACGATCAGGACCGAAACCAATCCTTCCAATGGAGAGCAATTATGAATTATCGACGCTGAACGTTAGTCCATGATCATCACGCCCCAATTATTCCGCTCATTAAGAGGGATACCTCCCTCGAACATCTTCAATCCTCCCAATGGAGAACAACTGCCACTTGCAACTGCCAGATCCATTCTTCCTCATTTTCTAAAATTACTTATCGAACAATGAATAAAATCCTCCTAAAATTATACGACACATTCGACGTTCCAATACTTCGAAAAATAATTTTCAATAGAAATTTCGCAAATAATTAGAAAAAGAATCGTGAATAAAGATAAAAAGATTAAAAAAATTCTGTTGGAAGAAATAAAAAGAAAAGAATAAATTAATAGGAAACATTCCCTAAAATTCGAATGATAATGAAAAATCTTTGAACCCTGCAATATTACATGAGTCATCGAGTATCGTCGAGGCAACACCAACGTGATCATCGCGGCCCAATTATTTCGCCGGCGCTCATTAAGGGGGCACGTCAATTAAGCGTCGCGAGCGACTTTCAGCGACCTTCGTTGAAGATGGTCAGGTGGCAGGGCGCAAGAAACGGCCGAACCTACGTCCGCGCGCGGCCGTAGGCAGAACGGCCTTACGGTTTTCTGTATTAGGCAGAGTCGGTTTCTTGCGTCGGTACACGGTATTTCTCGGTATACCGAGTCTCGCCAGCCACGCCACTCCGCGGGGTGTACGCCTCCCTAGAAGTGTTCCTCGTCGAGGAGGAGGAGGAGGAGGAGGAGGATGCTCTCTCTCTCTCTCTGTCGAGTGTTCGGTCGAGCGCTCAGAGGAGAAGTGAGTGACCTCCGCGCGAGAGATACGACCCGCTTCCTCGTACGCGCGTGGAATAGGAGATGGGCGAACGATTGATTGGAATACCGGCGCGAGAACATCTTTGGAAGAGTGGACGTGACCTTGATGGTGTTGATAGAATGTTTGGCGCGGAGAGATCTGCAGAGAGGGTTTCTTTTCGAGGTTTGATGATAGATAAGGAAATATTATTAAGTGAAAACGTAGCCTTTTCGAGAGGGGGAGGGTAATCGGGGAAGTGAATGAAACGAGACGAAACGATTGGTAGGATTGGAGGAATTGTTTGATATTTTTTTTTTTTTTTTTTTCAGAAAGACGATTTATAATAGGGATGAATAGACGGATGTAACGTGGTGTCGTTCGAGCGTGGGCAAACGTGTTACATTTCGGAAATAGCCACGGTATAATAACACGCGAAGGGGGAAACAATGTTAGGCGAAGAAGAGATGACCGTTTATTTTTCACGTTCGACTCTTCCGAGAAATTTGATATGGAAGAGGGTAAAATTTCAAGTTTTTTCAATGTATCGAATTTTCTTGAATCTCTTTTTTGAAGAGATAAAAGAAACTCTAAAAGAAAGTTCTTTCTTTCGTATCTGCGATACGATAATTTCGTATCTACTTCTACTTTTATTGTGAACCTAAAAAAAAAAAAAAAGATTCATCCCCAAAGATATTGAATCGATTATATATAAACAAAATCAGACTGTTATTACAAGCGAATAGAGCTCCACAGAGAATAGAATCGTTAATCGGAAAGTAATAAAAAAAAAAAAAAAAGAAAAAGAAAGAACGAAATATCATAATTTCCTATCCTGTAAAAGGGAGGCAAAATTTAATAGCGTATTCCATAAACGTAATGAATAGTCCAGACTACCGAATGCGACTCTAATTGGACAAGATGGAGCATACGATCACGCTAATTATCGATCAAAGCGAAGTGTCTCGGCGAGTAGGGTCGACATAAGGACACGACTGACTAATTGGACCTAGCATGGCGTATGATCTCGTGTATGTAGTCGTGAAAATGTTTTCGCTATTGGGCAGAGTTGCTTCTAGAATCGCGTTAATAAATACAATTGGAGAGACGTATATGTAATTGCATCGTGCATGTTTTGAATAATAAAAAATATACGTTTGGAATTTTTTGAAAGATCGAACGTGAAAATTTATAATATTGATAAAAAGAAACAGACTTCTAATATTATCGTGTATCAAAGAAGAAATTTATTTACCGAAGTGATATACGATTCGTTAGAAATTACAAAAATTAATTAAATTTCAAAAATTGTTAACTCAAACAGTCTCAAACGAAGCATCACCGATGTTTCGAATAAATACTATATTTCCTTCGGAAAAATATCCGAGAAAAATCGATAGAAAAAAAAAAAAATAATTGAGAAAAGAAAATTCCAATATACTTAAATCGACGTTTTATCTCGATCTTACGCGTTCGATTCGATTCAACTTGTTAGAGATAACAGAGAATTGGCGCTAGTGATTTCCTGCCGATTGCTTTCGAATTACTGCAGTCAATTACTTTCGCGCCGGGAAATTATGGATCCGGTATCGTGCTCGATCCTCGAGATATTATCGTTTCGAGTGTAAGCACTAAGTCTAATTCGCGGCACCGTGATATTCCACTAATTTGCATCGAGGCATTAGCGTAGTTCTCTTTTAAAACGAAAGATCGCATCGCGCGCGCGCGCGCGCAATTATTACCGTTGCTCGTCTTCAAATTAATACCAGTACGAATTTTTAACATTTTTCATTCAAATTTTCTTCTTTTTAAATCAAATAAGGAACCGATAAAATCGTATAAGAACAGAACAAACGTTTCCTTCAAACCTATCCACTTCAAACACGTGCAAACTTCTTCTTCGATCCTCCTCTATAATCAAACAAGTTTCTCTCTTTAAATCGAAGAAGAGATCGATAAAGAAAAAATTCGCGTTTCCTTCAAACACGTTCACTTACAACCGCTTCAAACACGTGCTCGATCCTTTATAATCGCCCAAGTTCTCCTTTTCTTTTTAAATCGAACGAGAGCACAAATGAAATAAAGAGTAGTGTTCCAACGTCGTCTTCCAACAACTTCAAACGTGCGCAAACCTCTCCAATGCCTTATATGCCACGCACCACCGTTAATAAAGCTCTCCGAGCCACGCGATCCGATCGCGATACGATCTATCCAACTGGCGGCTAAGATCGGTAAGAGAAAAAATCGAGGAGGAAACGAAATCGATACGCTCAGTGGCGATAAACATTGGAAGCAATGCGAGGGTGGGTGTAAAGTCGCCCAGAATAGAACGCTCTCTGCTCTCCACGACCAGCCAGCCAGCCAGCTCCTCGTTACGAAGCTCCTCGAGGGCTATGGCAAGCGGGTGGAATGTGGGTCACAGGGATTGCGAACAATCGTGATGGTGGAGGCCCTCGTTGTAGCGTGCCACGTTTCAATGGTAGCCATAAGCAAGTGCGAGAGTGAAAGAAAGAGGCGGAAAACAGATATCGGGTTTTGTCGTGGAAGAAACTGAAACGAGTTGATCCGACCGTGCTTCCGGCTATCGACACTATCCTACGATGAAAGATTAGAGTCTTAAGGGACTCGTGTGGCCATTTTTCCTTGGGAGAAAGGTTCGTGCCGATCATTTCGATAAGATCGATCGGTGCTTTTGCTTTGAATGCTGTTTCTGGGAGAAAGGAACCACTCTGTGTTACCTCATCATTGTTTCGCTTGATTTGATACTCATACTGCTGATAATACTACGACAATTTTTGGAGAAAGTCTCTTTCTCAAACTGTGCTAAAGATTAAGTCTCGAGAGAGAAATTGTTACGAGAAGGTATCTTAAAAAAGGGAAGAAGTGATATTAATCATTACCTTTACTGTCGAAATTGATCAACATGCATCGATCATCGGCTGCAATGTCGCATTTGTATACTGCCCCGCCTCTGTAGACGCCAGCTTGAGGAGTTTCGGCCTCCGGTGCACCCACGATGGCCCTGCAAAAGGAAACGCGACGAATCTTTGCATTGAAATCTTTCTTACAATTCCAGAGAAGAAGAAGAAGAAGAAGAAGAAGAAGAAGAAGAAGAAGAAGAAGAAGAAGAAGAGAGTAGAGTGAGTGGATAACGATGAATAAAATGCAAAATGCAACGCATTGCGTAATTGGCACGATCGTTAATGTGTGTTTGGTTCGATATTCGCATTATCGTTAAGGAAAGACGATGATGCGAACGTATTTCCGAGATCGAGGTCAGTGGTCACGAGCTATTTTGAAGAGTGGCGCAAGAGTGTCGGCGCAACCGATCCGACCGACCGATGGACGAGTTATTAAACCAGGTAACACATTTGCCACCGCAATTTTTCACGGAGCACGATCGCGGTGCTGGTTTGCATAGAGCTTGTTGAAGAAATTGAATTGTTCGTGCGAGATTTTTTTGAGAAAAGAATATCGATCATTTTTCAAAAATTCCATTTTTTTTTTTTTAATTATCTCGTTCGATTTTTTTCTTTAGGTGGATGAGATGTCATAATTCTTCCTTTTTTTCTTTTTAGAGAGGAAAAGGTAAATGATCGCTCGCTATCTATTAAAATAGATTAATGTTTGGCTGGTAATTGAACAAAGACCCATGGACGACCAATTATTTCGACGATAACCATCTCGTGCGCTAAATTGGCCATTGTGTTTATTGACTTAGAATTTAACGTTTGCCCCACTTTCCTAATGAACGCTTCGGCCTTAAATTGCTAAATCGGATATATTGGAGAAAGATTCGCGCGATTCGTGAAGTTATACTTTCACGAAATTTAGATTATTTTTTCATTTCACTGGTGAAATACTATTTATTTTGAGAAAGAATTTATAATTTAGAAATTCGAATAATAAATCGTTATTATCATTTTTAATTACATTATAATGTAACGATCCCGCATAATTATATAATTATTATTTAAGCATTATCTTTAAATAACTGAAGTTATTTAAAATTCGTATTAAGTACTTTTTTATAATTAATTAAGTTCTTTATCTTTAATTTAACACTTTCCGTTTATTCTCAATCCCTTCCTTTCACTTATCTTTCATCTAGATTATCGCACATTGAAATTAAACAATAAATTAATCCCTAATTAATTTAATTACAGTGAAATATTTTCCCTAAACGGCTTAATCTCGTTAAAAACTCTCGTTAAAAATAACACGTAATTTTTATCGCTTCGTGGTAACGTGCACAATCATGCTTTATCGTGAAATCGTTTCACCTGGGCGTAGGTGTGTACCACGGCAATATGAAGATTGCTAGCCAAGGCAGCAGATCGTATAATTATCGTGAAAGGGTGTGTCTGATCAGGGGTTGTACACCCTGACCTATAACGTGATTAATACTACTTGCATACAGATTAACTTCGGCGTTACAAACATTCCAAGCGTACCGAAGAATATATAGTGGAAGGAATCACGCGTTTATTTTATTTTATTTCCTCTTTTTTTAATTAATTAAATTAAACGGCAAGATTGGAAAGAGAAAGGTTTTTTTTATCAATTTTATCGATAAATAATTTTTTTTAATTCGATGTTTTATTTAAAAAAAAAAAAGAGAACAAGGAGATTTCTAAAGTATCAGCCTTGCTGTTATATTCTGGCTTGCCTTGAACTTTTCTGAATAATTGTTTCCTTATTCGGTGGGTAATCGCGTAACAATTGAATTTTATCGAGGTGAAAATTGTTCTTTTTTTTTTTCTTTTCGAAATTTTTGTTGTGACAATGTAACAAATATAAAAGAAATTAAGAAATTTCCAATAATATGTACGAAGAAAAAAATTGTGAAGGAGAATTTAAAGGATTTCAAGTGATCGATGTAAATAACAAATAAGAGACGATTTAATAAAGGAATTCGATTCAAAAGAAACGTTTTGTTGGGAAAACATTTGAAAATTTGAAAATATAATTCGTATTTTTTCTTACATAAATTACATAAATTAGTATAAACTTAAATCTTAAATTTACTATTAAATTAACGATTCAATTCGTAAATGCAGATTTTGATGCTGGCAGAAAAATAACTTTCAAATATTACCGTGCCTGAGGCTGATAAATGACGCGTATCGTTTTATTATCGAACAATGGATTAAACTAACGGAGAAAACGCTCGTTTCGTTCAATTTCACTTTGGTATAAAGAAGTCCGTTCTTTATTCCGTGAAGAAGCGATATCATAAATTTCTTTCCTGCGACGCTAATTATTATCTCCAGGCAACAACAAAATAATTTAGAAAGTCTCTCTTCAAACGTTATAATCTTTGTTGCGAATTTTTCTTAAAATTTTTATCAAATTGTGAAATCGCTTGAAATATCGAAACCATATTTTATCATTTTCAATAATTGTTACGACGAAATTGGTTTAACCAAAACCCGCGTTATTACAAATATTTCGGCATCGTCGAAAGTTTATACAATTTCCATTCAAATTCAAATTATTCACATCTGAATTCCTATCTCTCGTAACAACTTTTCTCTCGCATTCAATAATCATTCCAGTGCAACAATTTCAATTTAACTGATAAGATATTTTAATCTTTAATTCCAATTAATCGATTCTATTTTTTTTTTTGTAATTTTTAAGATAAATAAAAAACTTAAAAATAAAAATTTAAATTACATCGTTTTAATTTTAAAAAATTAATAATTTCCAATTAATATTAATATTTTGGAAATCCAAAAAAAAAAAACTCAATCTTTTTGAAAAGATCTTTGCTCCACTTTAACTTTAATGAGGAAGAAAAAAAAAATTCGAACTTGGACGGACGTTCTTCAAGGGAACTGAGACTCCTTTGTCGAGAAGATCCGTCATCATTGTCATCATCGAGCGTAAAAATGGCACCGTTTACCGTGCAACCTTGGCATACTCTAGGCTCCTGTAGTCTGTAACCAGAGCGTAGGTAAAAGTCGCACACTCGCGCAGAATCATTAACAACTGGTGGAAACCGACGATTATGCGAGTTATGCAAGTGATTCGTAACGTGTGCGGTAACGTGTGCCACCGGAATTGTCGCTTTGATAAGAACGAAACGAGGGACGAATCGCAGGAATGAATCAATTAACACCGTGAAACCGGTAATCAAGATTTCCACAAGCTCGAAAGGAAATATGGCCGTGTCTGCCATTCGAACGGCAATTGACAAAACCATCGTCTTGATACGATAATTGGCGGATTCTTGAAATGTAATTTATATTCGTCAATTTGATTACATTGGGGCATGATTTAATAATTACGATTATGTAATCGTAATTGTTAGACATTTCAAGGGAAGGGAGACGAATTTGTTTCAATTTGTTGCAATATATTTTGATTATAATTAGATAAATTGATACATTTACAGGTAAACTCTAAGAAAAATAATGATAAATTAATTGGAAAAATTTGTATCTTGATTGCACCCGATGATATTATCTCTTCGTTTTTCTCAAACATTTCTTCCAGCTTCCGAACGAATTAATCCTAAAACTATGAAATTTGACGCTGCGATATCAAATTCATCTCAACACGGTTAAATTAACGATATGATACACGACAATCCAATATAAAATCAAGGGGAAAAAAAAATACATTTTCGTGGAGGGTTGCACGAGATTATTGTCCAACGAAATTCGATCCATTTACGACCTCGATGTCCAATGGATTCGCGGACGTGTCGCGTTAATAGGAAACGTGGGTCGAACCTGACGAGGAGCTTAAGCTCGCCCACTCTATTTTTTCCTCTTTTTTCTTTTTTTTTTTTTTTGTCAATCGTGAGGAACTACAGTCACCAATATGTGACGCATTCACCAGAACGGGAATGCAGGGGCGAACCGGTCCCAGAGGATATCGTACAAAGAATACAAGCGTTTAGAAATCTTTTTCTTTTTCTCTCACTTATTTTTTTTTTTTTAATTTTCGTGGAATAATAGAAAATTTTCTATTCTTCGAATTTTTATATTTTGAACGTTTTAAGTTTTGGCTATATTTGTATAAAATATGGGGGGAGGAGGGAAATAAAAATTTAATAAGAAAGAATAAAAAAATACATCAATTCAATCGCCTATAAACCAAATCGAATAAAATTAACATTGAGATTTTCTCTCGGTGTATCACTTCTTAAAAATCTTCCACCTGAATTTTAGTAAATTCCAATAAAATTTCTCTCCCTTTCCCGTCTATAAAAGTATTTTTATCTCCATTGCATTTCTCATTAAGATTTCGTTTTCCTTTTATCAGGTATAATTCAATATTCACCTGCAACCTAATGCAATATTCATCAATATTCCATTTTTCCAGCGGCGTTATCGGACAGGATTCGGCGATGGAGAAGATGGAGGTGTGCCAATCTCACGGATAGTTGTGACAGTAGGCGGCAAAGATGGTCCGTGGCAAGAGGCAGGTTAAGCGAGGACAAGCAACAACCTGACATCGAGGGAAAGTTGAAACGTTGGCTGATTTATACAATGACGGTCCAGTTTGGAGAACAATTTAGATTCTTTTTTATTCGATACCGTGGCTCTCGATCCGGTCTTTATACGGTCGCCGATAAAAATGACAGGTTACAAACCGACAGCTATTTCAGATCGATCGATGGAAGTTTCACGACTGAATACAGATTCTTGTTTTCTTGCTCTTTCGAGTAAGTATAATTGTAATCGCCAGTCGGACGATTACAATTTTCAACGAGTCTCGCCTCTATCTGGATATAATTTTTTTTATTATTTTTGGATATTATTTAATGTTATTTCGTTTCGATATTTCTTTTTAGAAAAGAAGAGAGAAATTTATCGTTATATTTAAGAAGAAGAAATTGTTCGATAAAAAAAAAAAAAACGAGGATACGAAATCTAAATTTAAGCTGAAGGTTACCTCAGATAACGATTAATTTGTTTTAATTTGAATAATGAGTCATTCAAAAAAAAAAAAAACACCATTTAAAGCAGTACGTGAAATATGATACGACTATCTTATCACCAGCCACTT